GTACTGGCATGAACCAGCGCAGAAAGCAGCAAGATGCACCAAACCCTTGAGAACAGCATGCACAGAATTGGAAACGTTGATGTGGGGCGGTAGTTTTGCGAAAGTCGCTGGTCGCCGCCCTTGTGGGGAACTTTGACTATAGCGCGCTTCCAAGTCTCTGGCGCTGGTGAAACTGGCTCTATGATGGCGTCGAAGAGGATCACCAACGCACGTCGTAGATTGCCCCCACTCTCCTCCAGAATTTCAGCAGCCATGCACTCGGCGCCTGCAGCTTTCGTCGTCTTGAGCTGCTTGATCGCCACACTGGGCTCCTCAAAAACAATTTGCGCACTGCGCCCAGGCGCGCTGCCACGAGACCTCGTCGCAAGAATGCCCCGATAGATCGAAGCCCCATCTTCTGCTGCCGCTGCTGCTGCTGCTGCTGCTGCTGCTGCTGCTGCTGCTGCTGCTGCTGCTGCTGCTGCTGCTCTTGGTCATCGTTACGCCAGTTGTGAATATCGCTTGACCGATCCCCATCCCCAGCGGCGTGGCCTGGGCCCCACTGGCCGATTTACCCCCCTAGATGGGGATATAGGTCGTTCCCTTCGAGTTTCGAGGGGTGTCTCCCGAACTGGGGTGGCAATTTGGTGGGGGTCTCGAAGGGGATGGGGATGGGGATGGGGATCGGTGAAACGATACCGAAGCTGTACCTTGTCTTGGCCCTCACGACGCAAACCTTAGTCAGAGTCCTTCCGGATAGTGTTAAGTCGGGCCTGCCCCTCTAAAGGAGGAATATTCCAAAATAATCAAAAATAGTCTGGGGACTATTCTTTTCAGTATGTGGGGGCATTTCTGGAGTATTTCTGGTGCATTGCATATATTAGGGGGACAGGCCAGGCTTAAGGATAGGGGGACAGGCCAGGCTTAAGGATAGTGTTCGAGCTCCAGGGCCTGACGCCGGCCTCTCCGACGCCAAACCCGATGACAGGGCAGCCGCCTTGAGCTGCTCAAGCCGCCCGAGGTCTGAGGACCTAGACCCCCGAAGTCGTGCCTGGCTTCCCTTATGTTGCTCCCATCGTTTTTGTTCCTCACCACAGCCTAATGCCTTCAAAAAGTGTCCTCTCAAGCTCAGTCCGTGGCCTTCGTCGCGAACATCACCGCGACCTAATGCCTTCAAAAAGTGCCCTCTCCAGCTCAGCCCGGGCCTACGCCCGGCCTGATCTGCTCCGAGGGGGCTCAAAGCCGACGGGCAGGCATCCCCCAAAATTGCATCCCCCAAAATGTTGCTCCCATCGTACTTAAGGACCACATCCCAGAAATTGTTTCGAGCACCCAGATAAGTGTCGGAAGAGTCTCGAAAGAGTGTTGAAACGGTGTCGGACGAGTGTCTCCCAGGGCCCGACAGGTGAAAACCCTCGAGTCTCGGTACTTTTCTTCTGGTGCTCGAAATTATTTCTGGTGGTCAAGGCTAAAGTAGGTTGGAACATCATAAGTCTTCCCCAACCATCCTGTGGTGTTGGGTTCTCGTTTTGAAGAGACAGCGCCCCGCGTCGTTTCTCCTTCTCCTCCTCCTCCTCCTCCTCCTCCTCCTCCTCCTCCTCTTCCCGCTGCCCCTCCTCCTTCCCCCCTCCTCCTCCCATCCCGTCCCTGCCTTTGCGTCACTGTTTCGGCACACCTCCCACGCGCTTCGTGACCCCATAGGGAGCTCCACCGGAAAGCCCCAGTGGCAGTGCCCGCATGCGGTTCCACCCTCCATGTCGGCACACCCCTCGAACGTTTCGTGGCCCAATGGCGAGCTCAGCCGAGGGTGGCAGCACCCGCATGCAGTTCCACCATCAACTGCGGCACAGCCCTCACACGCTTCGCGGCACAATATTGAGGGACTCCACCTAAGTCCCCAGTAGCAGCGCCCGCATACAGTTCCACCCCCATGTCGGTGCACCCCTCACGCGCTTCGTGACCCCAAAGGGAGCCCCACTGAAGGCCCCAGTGGTAGCGCCCGCTCGCCCGCATGCAGTTCCACCCTCCACTTCGGAACACCCCTCACACGTTTCGCGGTCCCATTGGGAGTTCCACCGAAGGCCCCTCCTTCATTTCAGTTTCACCGCGATGCTCGAAGGCCCCAGTGGCAGCGCCCACATGGTGGCCACGCCAAATTTCGGCACACACTTTACACGCTTCGTGGCCCCCCCACAAGGAGATCCGCCGAAGACGATACTGACAACGACGGTACTCACAACTGCATATGGTTGGGTCCTCCGCCACAGTAACTTTTCACAACGCCTACCCTGGTCGGGAGCCTTGAGACGGGGGTCAACGCAGACGGGGGTCAGCCAGAGCGCCCCGACCTTGCAGGATCCCGCAGGGCCAGGGTCGCATTGACCCGGGTTTGGGTGCAGGATCCTGCAGGATCTTGCAGGATCCTTCGCATTGACCCGGGTTTGGGTGCAGGGTTTTCCAGGATTTTGCAGGATTCTGCAAGGCCTGACTGACCCGGGTCTGGATTGACCCGTGTCAGAGGACCCCCGACCTTCGAAGTGTGGACACGTTCCGGGGCCCGCTAAGGACCCCTGGAGGCCAAGAACCGCGACGATCATGCGGTCGCGCTTTTCCGCGATGCGGGGGGACTCCGGGCAGGGCGACGGCGAGGACGACGGCGGCGGCGGCGGCGACGGCGACGGCAACGGTGGCGGCCGCGACGTTGGCGGCGACGTTGGCGACAATGACGTTTTCGGTGGCGGCGACAGTGGCGGCGTCGTCGTCGGGGGAGGAGGAGAAAATGGAGGAGGAGGAGGAAGAGGAGGAAGAGGAGGACCAGCGTAAACCCAGGACGGACCAACGCTGCTGAAATTCGCCCTCCCGCCCCAAGTCCCCTCTTTCCTTAGCCCTTCTCATGTCAGGAAGCGCCACTTGAACGAGCGCCACATGAGCCTGCCATTCAGCCGACTGCCCCTTTTGAAAAGGATATGTGTCAGTTTAGCTGTTAGGAATGCGAAGGGCCGGATCATGGAGGCCAAATATTCGCCCAAAGAAAGATGTTCAGAAAAAGAGCCACCCTCCCTTCGTACAACTGCGCCACGATCTTACCCAAATGTAAGTGCAATTGGAATGCTACCTTTGAAAAAGACTCGGCCTCCCTCCGTACAAGTGTTGCACAGAAGTCTCAAGCGAGAGGCCAGTATGAGAAGGAATCACCATCCATCATGCAACATGATGGTAACAGTTAAAACGAATCCGCGCCGCGCTACGGCGAGAGCCACATGTTGAACAAGAACCACCCCCCTCGTTGTAAGTATCGGGTGTAAGATGGGACGATGTAGCTCAACGTGAAGCTACAAACATGCACAGCGCGGAAGGCGAAAGCCACAATCGGAGAAAGAGAATGCACACCACGATTCATCCTTGTAGCTGTTGGAAGCTTGTACGACGAATTTGCGCGACGCCAAAGCGAGGCCCGCATGTTTAAAATTTGCCTGTCCAAAAACCCTACCATATGCAGATGTGAGTACCGTCATTGTGGGCATCGCATTCGGTGGATCTCCTCATGGAGCTACGAAGCGCGTGAAGTGTGTGACGAAATGTAGCGGGGCCGCCATGCGGGCGCTACCACTGGAGCCTTCGAGCATCGCGAGGAAAATGAAATGAAGGAGGGGGGCCAGCAACAGGGGCCACTGATGCCTTCGGTGGAGCGCCCTATGGGGCCACAAAACGTTTGAGGGTTGTGCCGACATGAAGGGCAGAACTGCATGCGGGCGCTGCCTCTGGGGCCTTCGGTGGAGATGCCTAGTGGGCCACGAAACGTGTGAGGGGTGTGTCGACATGGAGCCATGAGACGTGTTAGGGATGTGCCGAAATAGAAGGTGGAACTGCATGCAGGCGCTGCTACTGGGGCCGTAGGTGGAGAGCTCCCTATGGGGCCACGAAACGTGCGAGGGGTGTACCGAAATGGAGGGTGGAACCGCATGCGGGCGCTGCCACTGAGGCCTTAGGTGGAGCTCGCTGTGGGGCCACGAAGCGCGTAAGGGGTGCACCGACATGGGGCTAGAACCGCATGCGGGCGCTGCCACTGAGGCCTTCGGTGGAGCGACACATGGGGCTACGAAACGTGTGAGGGGTGTACTGAAATGGAGGGTGGAACTGCATGCGGGCGGTGCCACTGGGGCCTTCGGTGGAGCTCCCTATGGGGCCACGAAGCGTGTCAGGAGTACACAAGGTGGGGGTGGAACCGCATGCGAGCACTGCCACTGAGAGCTTCGGTGGAGCTCCCTATGGTGTCACGAAGCGCATAAGGGGTGTGCCGAAACAGTGGCATGCGGAGGGTAAAGGCAGGGATGGGATGTGGTATGGGAGGAGGAGGAGGAGGAGGAGGAGGAGGAGGCAGAGGAGGAGGAGGAGGAGGAGAGAGGAACGAGGGGCGCTGTCTCTTCAAAACGACGACCCGACACCTCAGGATGGTTGGGGAATAATGGGCGATCCGTCCTTGTAATTGACTCTTGGACGGCTGGGCACTTTCACAACGATCTGCGCGGCGGGAACAACATTTTGAGATTGGCCCGCCCTCCATCCGTAACACTGTTGGAATGTTTGAGACGAACGTGCGCGTTGATCGGAAATCAATTGTGAAAACGATGTGAAAGCCAACTGGTCGGAATCATCCGCCCTCCATCCACGGTTGGACACTCCAAGCCTCATGGACTCCAATCGCGAAGATGCCTCGGGCAAAAGGCCCAACCCTTCTCACCGACACGCCCAGGCGGTGCGACGCGGGGGAGCTGCCTGACGACGACGGGAGGCACGTGAGAGGACGACGGGAGGAAGACGGCGGCGAGGACGACCGGCCGCAGCAGGAGGGCGGGGGAAGAGAGAGAGATACGTAGAGAGAAAGAGAGTGAGAGAGAGAGGAGGGGGGGAAGGTGGAGGAGGAGGAGGAGGGGGAGGAGGAGGAGGAGGAGGAGGACGAGGAGGAGGAGGAGGAGGAGGAGGAGGAGGAGGAGGAGTGCGCACGAGGGCCGGAGGCGGGCCTCCTCCGCCGTGCGGAACTCCACGAAGGCAAACAGGCCGCCGCCGCCTGTGGCGCCGACGGTGGCGACGACGACGACGACGACGACGACCCCGACGACGACCCCGACGACGACCCCGACGACGGCGAAAGATCCTCCTCCTCCTCCTCCTCCTCCTCCTCCTCCTCCTCCTCCTCCTCATCATCATCATCCCTGAAGTTTCCGGGTTTGGGGCGGTGGGGGCGGGGGCTCCAGGGCGGCAGCCCTAAGCACAGGATGTACGGGGCTCTGTTCGATAACAACACAATTTCTCGAGCCTTCCGAGAAGTCGCGCCACACAGGTTCCCAGTTCGCACACATCAAATGTTCCCATTCGGACAAGTCTATCTTGCCAAAACACTGTAATGTGCATCGTTCTTGTGCTTGGGATTGGTGCGTGGATGCAGCGGTCCGGAATGGCACAAATTACCGGGCCGCACTCTGACAACGAAGCCCATCGAAAAGCTCTCAAGCTAGATGTGGACATCAGTTGACCATGTTCGCGTTTGGCTATGCCTCTTTTCCACGGAGCGCGGCTAGTGCAGCAGCGGACCGTCGCATTGCCCAGAAGAGGGCTCGGCCCAGAAGGGTTCGTCGCGGGCACTGCTCTAGGTCCAGGGCGGGCATGAAAGCATGGCCGGCAGGCTGCGCGAGCAGTCCACGTTTGCCTGACGTCCCCTCGGCACTCTGGACGGGCGCCCCACCCTCGAGCAGGCCTTCCTTTTGCAGCCGGCCGGTCCTTCCTTGAGCTGCGGTGCGCGCCCCGGGCGGGAGGCCGTGCACCTTCCGACGGGCCTGCCCCCGCCGGGCATGGCTCTTCCCCTTTTTCCCCTGTCCCGCGCGTCCCTTCCCGCGCGACCACGGCCGTGCGAGGCCAGCTCTGTGTACACCCTGCGAAATGCTTAAGAAATCATGGGTTAAGAAATTCATAGTCTCAGAACTTGAATAAAAACCCAAAATTCCCATTCGAATCTTAGGATTTACATTGAAACATTAAGAATAATCGAGACCCTGGCCGAAAATTTAAGTTTTCTTAAACATCGCCTAAGGTGTACACCGCCGCTCTGCCCGCCAGGCAGAGCAAAACATCAGCACACCGTCGGGGCCTGCGCCGCGGGACGCGGGAGAGCGCCGCGCGGCGCTCGGGCGCCAGGGGAGGGAGGCTCCCGAATCAAAGACCGCCCCACCTGATGAGAGGCACTCCCCTTTCCAAACAAAACTAACCGCCTGCCCCCGGTATGAGACCCCTGGGGGCAAGAAAATTCGGGGTCCGGCACGGATCATATATACGCTTTCCCGGCAGGGGGGATGATGAGGATGTTGATGCTGATTTCGGTGTTGATGTTGATGTTGATGTTAGAGTTGTTGCTGATGATGGTGATGATACTGCTGACGATGATGATGATGAGGATGAGGATGATAATGTTGCTGATGATGATGGTGATGATGATGACGACTTCGAGATCCTTAGCACGTGCTCTGGAGATCCTTGCCACGTGGTCTTGAGATACTGCCACACGTTCCTGACTCGAGAAGGGCTGAGAAAGTGAGAATCCCATAGCCCTGCCACACGTTCGTGACTTGGGAAAGCTGAAATGGCAAGAATCCCATAGTTTGCCCTGCCACTCGTTCGTGATTTGCGGAAGCTGAAACTGTGAGACCCCCATTGCCATGCCACACGTTTTCAAAGATGCTGCTAGTCAACATAAGAAGATGGCAACTTCGATTCGCAACTCTCCCCCGCGATAATAAAGCTTGGCCTTACCGCCCCTCTCCCCCGACAGGATCTATATATATATATATATATACTGGCCGGGGATAATGAACTCTCAGAGGTTAGGGGGGTACACCCTGCGAAATGCTTTAGAAATCATGGGTTAAGAAACACAGAGTCTCAGAACTTGAATAAAAACCCAACATTTCTATCAAAATCTTTGGATTTACATTGAAACGTTAAGAATAATCGAGACTCTGGCCGAAAACGTAAGTCTTATTAAGCATCGCCTAGGGTGTATGCTTTATTAATTGGGGATATATACGCCACCACCGCGCTCGACTTCGTCAACCTCGTTCTGGCCCTCGGGCGCAAGGGGGGGGGCCGTTGTCATCGGCGGCGAGGCGGCGGCAGCGTGTGTGCCTCTCCAAAACGAGTCGCGCACTTCTCCCGATCTTGGTGGCAGCGGCCATTTCTCGGCGGCGAGCGAGGGGGGGGAATGAGCAGGAGAAGGCCCTGTCAGAAGGCGGCGAGACTTCTCGGAAGCCCTCGGGCCTTCCCAGGAGCTGTTTGCGTCTTCGGGGAAGGCCGAGGAGACTTCTCAGGAGGCCGGAGGGACTTCCGAGTCTTCTGACAAGGCCTTCTCCTTCCAACTTGCACTTCCTGCTCCTCCTCCTCCTCCTCCTCCTCCTCCTCGTCCTCCTCCTCCTCCTCCTCGTCTTCCTCCTCCTCCTCCTCCTCCTCCTCCTCTCCTCCTCTCCTCCTCCT